CTCTAGTATGTGCAAGGTTTCTCATTCTATAACCCAGGTCTTTGATCCTCTTTGAGTTGAATGCCATGCAGGGTGAGAGATAAGGGTGAAGTTCATTCAAACATATGATATCCAGTTTTCCTAGCACCATTTGTTGAGAGGCTGTCTTCTCTCCAGTGTATGATTTTGGCTCCTTTGTCAAATATTTGATAATTTATGTAGGTTTGTCTCTGTTCTTCTATTCCATTTATCTTCATGATTGTTTTGGTGCCAATACCATCCTGTTTTGTTACTATAGCTCTGTAGTATAATTTAAGTTCTGCTACTGTGATGCTTCCTGCTTCACTTTTCTCGTTAAGGAGTGCTTTAGTTATTTTGGGCCTCTTATTTTTTCCAAATGAATTCCACTGCTTTTTCTATTTCTATAAAGAAATCATTGGAATTTTATTAGGAATTGCATTAATTTTGTATAGCACTTTTGGTAGTAGGGCCATTTTCACAATATTAATTCTGCCTTTCCAAGAACATGGGAGATTTTTCTATCTTCTAAGATCTTCTTCAGTTTCTTTCTTTAGTGTACTGTAGTTTTCATTGTAGAGGTCTTTCACCTCTTTTGTTAGATTTATTCCGAAGTATTTTATTTCTTTTTTTGTCTATTGTGAATGGATAGTTTTCTTAATTTCTCCTTCAGCTGATTCATTATCTGTATATGGGAATACAATTGACTTATGGGTATTAATTTTGTATTCTGCTACTTTGCTGAATTCATTTTTAAGTTCTAGAAGTTTTCTGGTGGAGTTATTTTGGTCTTCTAAATATAGAATCATGTCCATGGCAAACAGATAGTTTGAGCTCTTCTTTTCTTATTTATATCCCTTTAATTTCTTTCTATTGGCTAATTTCTCTGGCTTATGTTTCAAGGACAGTGCTGAATGGAAGTGGTGATAGAGGGTATCCCTGTCTTGTTCCAGTATTTAACATCATTCTAATGATGTTGGACTTGGGTTTGTCATATAGCTTTTATAATGTTGAGGTATGTTCCTACTGTCGCTTATTTTTCTATTGTTTTAAACATTAATGGATGCTATATTTTGTCATATGCTTTTTCTGCATCTATTGAGATAATCATGTGATTCTTGTTTTTAAGTCTATTTATGTGGTGAATTGTATTTATTCATTACTGTATGTTGAACTCACCTTACATTGCTTAGATGAAACTCATGTGATCATGGTGCATTGTGTTTTTAATGAAGTTTTTGTATGTGACGTGCTTGTATTTTATGTAGAATTTTTGCATCTATATTCATCAGGGATATTGGTCTAAAGTTTTTTTTCCTCGATGAGTCTTTGTCTGGTTTTGGTACAGGGTAATACTAGCTTCATAGAATGACTTTGAAAGGTTTTCCTCCTTTTCTATTTCATGGAATAATTTGAGAAGGATTGGTATTAGTTCTTCTTTAAAAGTCTGGTAGAACATGGCTGAGAATCCATCAGGACCTGGGCTTTTCTTTGTTGGTAGGCTTTTGAAAGGGTCTTCAATTTCATTTCTTGAAATCAATCTGTATAATTTTTCTGTGTCCTCCTGGTTCCTTTTGGGTAGGTTATATGTCTCTAGAAATTTGTCAACGTCTTTTTCTAATTTATTGGAGTTTAAGTTTTCAAAATAGTTTGGTTATCCTGGGTATTTCAGTAGTGTCTGTGGTGATATTTCCTTTTTCATCACAAATTTTAATAATAATTTGAGTTTTCCCTCTTTATTTTGGTTAGCTTAGCTAAGGGTTTATCAATCTTATTTATTTTTTCAAAGAATCAACTTTTTGTTTCATTGATTTTTTTCATTGATTTTTGGCTCCGATTTTAATTATTCCTGCATTGCGCTTTTGGTGTTGATTTGTTCTTCTTTTTCTAGGGCCATGAAATTTAATGTTAGATTATTTAGTTGGTATCTTTCTATTCTTTTAAATGAATAGGCTTAATGCTATGAATTTTCCTCTTAGAATTGCCCTCATAGTGTGCCAGAGATTTTGATATATTGCATCACTATTCTCATTTATTTCTTAAGTTTTTTTTAAAATTTTACTCTTGATTTCTTCTGCTTTGCATTCATCATTTAATAGTGTATCATTTATTCTCCAGGTGTTAGAGTAGCTTCTATTTTTTTATTTTATCGTTGACTTCTAATTTCATTCCGTTATTATCTGATAGAATGCAAGTGATATTATCTCTATTTTTTTTTATTTGTTAAGAGTTGCTTTGTGGCTTTAGATATGGTCTATTTAAGAAAATGATCTGTGTGCTGATGAGCAGAAAGTGTATGTGGTCATTCATGGATATTTATGTCTGATAAATCTAGATTGTTAATTGTATTTTTTTAGTTCTGTAACTTCATTATTTTTTGATTGGAAGATCTATCCAGTGATTAGGGAGGTGTTTTACCCAAAATTATTGTGTTGTTGTTTACATGATCCTTGATATTGAGAAGGATTTGAGAGAAAGCAGAAGTAAAAATTTAAAGGAAGACAGAGAGAGAAAAATAGAATTTTTCTGTTAGCAAAAGAAAAGAAAGAGAACCAATAAAAATAGACAAGTGAAAAACAATACAAAAAAAAATACTAATCAAAAACCCTAGCCCCCAAAAGTCAGTCATGAAAAGTAACTCTTTCTTTCTGGGGTTTTTTGTTTGTTTGTTTTGAGGTGTTTAGCTCACACAAGAGTAGTGGCCCTTGCCAAGACCTTCCTCCTTTTGTGTAGCTCATCAAGCTGCCAGTTAGAGTTCAAAAATTCCGAGTTTCCCTTCTCCACAGTGTGAGGTGGCACAGGTTGGAGAGTGTTGTCTGCCCCACTGTCAGGGTAAGGTTGCTGTCAAGATCCCCTAGGCGCAGTTCCTGAAAGCCCCAGGTGCTTTCTTGAACGGTGATTGGTGTGAAGATTTTGCGCACCTACAGGGCCTTGCAACTGCCACTGAGATACTGCACCCCAGGAGTCTCCCCTGGGTTCCACATGTGAGGTAGAGAGCCAGTCTTTCGCCCTCTCTGCCACCTGTATTCTCCTGCATCAAACACCCTCCATGCCTGAATTTCTCTGGTTTCCTAGGCACACTATTAGCTGTGTGGTGGGCATCTGCCAGGTATGGTTTGGGAACCTAGCTCAAGCACACAGGTCCAGACTCCCACAGCCGCCCGCCACTGTAGCATGGTAGGAACATGCCAGGCCATCATGTGTGGCATGTTTTCCACCCTCTGGATCAGTCAGGCAGTGTCCTTAATCTCTGATTTCTCTGTACCAAGACACACCATAGTGCCATGGTGCCATCTTAGATGCAGGTTTTCTTAGTCCCCCTGTTCCCTTTCTCCACAGTGGATCAGGTCTAGCAACTGCCAGCACTGGTGGTGGCTTTTCTTCTTTTATTTTATTAGACCTAAACATCTGAGTCCCCAAGCTGTTCTGAGAGTACAGAGTTAAATCCCAATAAAGACCCTCTTTCACTCACTTCACTGAGAAGTTATTCATCTACTTTCTTGGTCTCATGCCATGGAGCAGCTTGGTCAGCACACTTCTCTATTCCACCATTTTCCTGTTCTCCACAAAATTCTAGATTTTAAAGGAGGGTTGATGTGCTCCTTTGTTCCCAGGGTCCACTTAGGAATCTGTGTCCCTCCTTTATTTATCAGTTCCTTGTCTTATAAATCTTCCATTACTGCCTCCTCTTCCTAATTCCTTTTATTGGTTGACTTCAAAGATACAGCTCCAACTTCCTCAATGATGTCAGTACTATGATCATCTATACTCCACACCATGTGATTAAAATATTTCTCTAAATTCATGAATTTGAGTTTCTAATGCTAAAAACTTTCTTGTTGTTATTGTTGGTACCAGGGATTGAGTCATATCCCCTGCCCTTTTTGTTTTTATTTTGGGACAGAATTTTGCTAAGTTGCTTCAGGGCTCACTAAGTTGCCAAGGCTGGGGTCAAATTTGCAGTCTTCCTGCCTCATCCTCCTGAGTTGCTAAGATTCCAGGCATATGCCACCAGCAGAACTGATTTTTTTTTAACTTCAGTATCAACCAAAGTCATTCTAAAATTTTAAATACCGAAAACCCTTCTTTTATTTTCTCCTTTTCTCTGACAACTAAACTGTTCTTCTCTCAAATTCAAATATTCCTTCATTCTTATAATGTTCCTTAGTGTGTCTTCCCTTTCATTCCCTCTTTCTGCCTTCCACTCTCTCCCTCCGTAGATGGCTTTGCCATTGGATCTGAGATTCTTCAGCTTTATTCCCTAATACACAAAATTTTTATCAATCTTCCTTCTTTTGCTTTCATTCTAATCGTAAAGAACTTTTTCCTCTTTAACATGAACTAGAAGAGTTCTTGTCTTTTCTTGATTTTGCCCCATATATATCACTCTTCCTTTCCATTTTTTCCATTTACTAGCATTAAAAATGAATAAAAAAAACCAATAATAACAACTAAAACTTAAGTTCATTTTCTTCAGCTTCATTTTCAGACTATACTGGACTTCTTAGAAGAGCAAACTTAATTAGTTATAATTCCACTTCTCTCTTCCCCACTTTTAAATCTCCCAACTAATAGAATTTTTATTCTCCTTTACTGCCTTTTAGAAAAATCTTTCTAAGTTTACCAATATGTGGTAAGTTTTTCTTGGTCTTTCTTCCCTAAAGAGTCAGGACAGTGCATTCCTTTCTTTTGTTCTTCTGTGACTTCACTGATTGCTATCAATCTTTTGTGGAAGGCCCCTTCTCAAATAAATAGATCATTTAGGAGATGACCAAACTATTGCATTGAGTTAATGCAGTCAGAGATACCATACAGTTGATTCTGAAGTGGTACCTCAAAGAGAGGAAATGAGTGTAGTATTTTTCTTTATTATAGGTGGTCTCTGAAATTCTAGGATAGGATATCAGAAATGAAATGAGTTGTTGGATTGGTTGATTTCCTAAGACTGTGATTGATACAACATATCCTTTTAATTTCATTATTTCCATTTCATTTGTTTTCAGATAAAGATGAATGCTGTGTGTCATGTAATACTGAAGTTTTGAAGTTGGAAGACGTTTGCTAAATCAAATCACTCAAGTAAGTTGGCTCACATCTATCTTAGCAGTAGCTCAAGATTTTAAAAACAAGGGATTGGGTTGTAGCTCAGCAGTAGAGCGCTTGCCTACATGTGTGATATACTGGGTTCTATCCTCAGCACCACATAAAAGTAAATAAACAAAGGTGTTGTGTTCATCTGCAATTAAAAAAAATTGTTTTAAAAAGAGAAAAGATTTAAAAACAAACAATTAAGTCTACTACCTTTGATGCTTCCTTAATAATAAAATTTTATGGAATATCTTATAGTGATCTTGTATATTGAATAAGTGGTGTTTGACAATAGTGGAATAACAATTTCATATTACATTTTATATGCTTTTAAAAATATAATGTTTAAACACATTGTATTATTTTTAAAGGGAGACTGCCACCTCAATTATTCTTGTATTTGTAGCAAGTTCTAGTCATAAAGTCTTAACCATATGCTAAATGGTGCTTTTAAAATGGTTTTTCTTTTGAAGCTAATATTTTGGTTTTTATTTTTTAAGTTTTCATACAGTTTTTCTTAATRATTTCTACATTATTGTAAAAGGAAGTGATTTATTAACCAGCTAGCACATGAACCTTAAATGTTTATTTGGTCAAAAACTTCGCTTGAAAGATTATCTTGAAAGATGATTTATCAAGAGCTCTGTAATGTATGAAACAATCAATAAAAAAAATAAAATAAATTAAAAGATAAAAAAAAAAGATTATCTTGACCAACCTTAACTTTTAAAATCATCTCTTCATGGTCTTTCTGTATTCATTCTCTTCCTCCATCTTGTATTCTGCATAAATCTGCATATAGAATCACTTTAATAATTCAGTTCCTTTTCCTGGCATTCAAAGCCCCCTACCATGCTCCTGAAACATCCCTCAGTTGAGCCAACTGGAGTCTCCTATTCTCTAAACTCACATGTCCTTCTTTGTCCTTAAATTGTTCTATTTTTCCTACCTATGACTTTCTGCTTTCACTATTTCCTTTGCATCTTAAAATCTTCTACAAATCTCTCCATGAAGTCTTCTTAGGTTACTCCAGTTAGAAATACTAACTCTTTCCATCTTTCTGCTGACTGCATCTATTGTTTTGTTTTTATCACTATTAACAGCAGCTTTATTTGTGTCTGTCATAGCTCCCATCCTAGGTTGTAAGGCTGTATAAAGTAAAAGATCATGTCTGATGAATTTTGTCTCCCACAGTACTCAGGATAGCCTTAAATGGTGCTCAGTAAATATTTGCTTAAAAAATTAAGAATGTGCTTGGCTTTCTTCCCATCATGCCCTCTTTCATCCTATAGATATGTACTATCCATGTTAATGCCAATTTTCATTCTTGTAATCCACTCCTGGCTGCCCTTAATAAGATACAGTCATTCGCCAACCTAAGAATAAGCTGTATTCCAGAAGTTCATATCTTAATTCTATTGTTTAGAATGCAGAAAGCATTTTTCCACAAAAACAGTACTATAAATATTGGTTTGATTCTGAGCCAACTCTCCTGAGACTGTTTAACTCATAAGTACCAATGTTACTTCAATTACAGGTAGACTCCATGTACAATGATGTTTTGTTTCGTTCTAGATATGGAAGTATGTGTCCCATGAACTAGAAACAGGACATGAACCTGCTGGGCTGAGCCAGAGTTTCGGTAGTTATTCATATTAGATACCCTTCCACCAATAGCTTTTTAGTTCTCGGTATTTGCATTATAGACATTTACCTACAGTTTACTAATACCTTTATGTCATCTAAATTGAGACGAAAAGAACACTTGCTCTTCTGAACTTCCCCATAGTGAGTTAGGATGGGGCTTCAGCTGGCCTTTCACTTTGGTGGGTCTTTTGTAAGGTTTTGATAGATCAGTAGTTCTTTTACTACATACCACTTTCTGCTCTTCTACAAACAACAGATTGCATATACATAGAAAATATATAAACATAGAAAGTATATAAATGTGAAAAAATAACTTCTGTCTATAAGGAAAAATACATTTATAAGTATCACCCCTAAATTTGACATCAAATCAGTTTTTGTGAACAAGTGATTATCTTTTCTACATGGGTATAATGATGCCTCTAGTGACAAAACATGTCACTGTATGCATAAACAACCCTTGAGGTTGACAGTTTAGGTTGTCAGGCTGCAAGAAAAAAAACACTTCATAAATTTCAGAGAACTTAATTATTCAGTCATCATAAGTATTGAGCCCCGAGTATCTACTTTATGCTTAATGCTGCTGCTAATGCTAGGGGCTAGGAAGTGGAAACAAATGATGTTGTGAAAAGTTTGCCTTCCCTCAGGGGCCTGAAATACAAGGAGCAAAATATTAAAAGAAATATTCATAGTAAAAACAATGTTATTAATTGCCATAAAATACTTCAGAAAGATAATAAATGCTCTGAGGATTATCAGAATTGCAGTGTCATTAAGATTCTCTATGGTTCTAAAAATAGTGGTGAGATTTCACTTAGTTTTAGAAGAATGGTGAAGGTATAAATAAAGAGCTAGAAAGGAAATGCTATTCCATGTTGGATTAACAGCACACAGAGAGGATTGAAGACATAAACAAACAACAGTCATTAATGACTGAAGCACAAGAGTTAGTTCATATTGGGTGAAATAATAAATGGGAAAATTTGATCAGTTGTTCAGCCCTGGCAGAACCTAACAGTCATCCATCTATTTTTAAAGCTACAAGTCCCTGGATCTTCCCCAGAACTATTAAATAGAATTTCTGGGGCGTGGGGCATAAGCCTGTTTATTTTTAAAGCTCCCCTAGTGGTTCTGATATTCAGCCAAGGTTGAAAACCCCTGAATTAGAAGGATGGGCCAAATTTAGGAGAGCTATGAATCCCCTGCTGAGGAGTTGGGCCTCTGTCCCTCAAGCAGTAGGAAGCCTTTAGAGGTTTCTGAGGTGGGTGACATGATCAATTTGGTCCTTGCCAAGATAAATGATTCCTCAACTATATGTGAATGGAAGAAAATAAGGAAAGCTTGAAGTAGAACAATGGTTATGAGAAAAAAGAGAAGAGTCACATTTTTTTAAGTATAGTTAGATGTGTGGGAGTTGGTGATGTCAGCCTTGACCTCAGCATGATTTGTTTTATAAACTGATTATACAACTTCACCCTTATTAATTTGATCTTTTTTCTCTTACGACCTGGCAACTTAAACCGTAATTTCAGCCACTTTGCAATTAATGGAAAGAGATCATTGTCTACTCAGGTACATGTCTAATTCATAATAGTAAGTGAAGTTATGTGTATGAGGAATATGACCTTCAACATGATCATTATAAAGCAATCAGTAACCTCCCATATATGCAGTAACACAACCCCAGTCCTGCAGGATTGTGCCAAGAATCAGAGTCACATATATAAGGTAGTTGTTGGCTCACAGTTCCCTAGCATTAAGTTGAAATTTGAAGAAATGTTCTCAATCATCCTATGCATTTTAATATTTTTAGTATTAAATTTGATAATTGCTTAGTTTTCTGTTGGCAGATTATGTGAGTCCCCTAACTAAAACACCAATCCACATTCTAAGCTTACAATTCTTTCTCTGCCCACTTTTGTAAAGAGAGCAAGCAGCCCGTGAACTCCCATTAGTTCCATCCCCTGCTATTATCTACCTGTAAGTGCCTCCAACTCCTCCTGATCCAGAGGGATAACTGAATCAACAGAATGGAATCTTCAGTGGAGTCAGAATTTCAGTTCTTTTGCGGCACTGATCAGCCAGATGACCCTGGAAATTCTTTTGCTTCTGACCCAAGTGGCACATGATAGCTCCTAAGGTGTACAAACTCAAACCACACCATAGGTTAAAAACATTTCGTATCTCTTTGATGTGTTTGAATTTTTTATTTGAAGATAATTAGCCATATTCATTAGACAGCAGAGAATAAGTTCAAAGCCTGAAGTTTTGACATGACCCACCTCCCTCTAAAAAAGACTCAACATCATGAATTTTTTAAAAATAACTACTTTCTCAGTTATTCTATAATATTATATTCAACAGTTTCTTTGATCTTTTTTGCCTTAACTATGAATTTATTATTGTTTTATCAATATCTTTATACCCTTTGAGTTACTTTTGTAATAGATATGTGGTTTTCACTCATCACCCAAATGTTTAAACAGAGAATGGATGGTTTGCTTAGAGTTGATAGATTTGGTAGAAGAGAGGAAAGAGAAGGCAACTAACATTTAAAATAAAAATCAAGTGCTCACTCTATACCATATTCTTTACATATATTTTGTCATTCTAATTTCATTTCACAAATGAGGAAATTGAGATTTAGAGAAGTTTAAAAAACTTACCTGAGCCCAAAGTCAGGTCTGGCTTTCTGTGGAAAGAGCCTAGTCTTATAAGTTTTCATGACTTTTATTTGTGGGAGAAATCATTGAATGCAGAATGAGAAGATTTGAATACAAGCCTCACCCTCGTCACTAATAACCCTGACACAAATTATTTAATGCTTCAGAGCATCAGGTTCCATTTCATCATGTGAGTTAACACTCACTTTACTGACCATTTTGGCTTGTTGTGAGAAAAATAAGCTAATGAGATTCAGTATGATTTTATACACATAAAAACCAGTGGAAGTGTGATAAATTCTTAATTCAAGCAAATAAACAGAACAAACATTAAATGAGATGACTTGGACCGACTTTGTGGTTTTTCATTTCTTAGTATTGCTATAAATTTTCCAAAAATAATGTTCATCAATTTTGCAAGTCCCAAACACTGTGGTGTGCCAAACTTCATCACTGTCCATTTAATATCTCAGTGTAGCTGAGAGTGTCCTGGCAGTGTATGCGTTCTTCCTTTCACTTGCCAGGAGCAATCATTAGTTTCTATGCTATATTAACTAGGTTTGACCCCCAGTAGATGCTCATTGCCAATGAGGATTGTTAGGCAATGTGACTTATTGATGTTAACATTCTCAGAACATTTTTCCCCATATTTCTGAGATTTTAGAACAACCTGAAGAAAAA